TTCGCCTCCATGACCCACCTCGTGAACTTAAAATAGAAGCCGCGTACGCTGAGAATTACAACCACGGCACAAACTGAAACTTAACGAATCCCGTTCTTATGTATCAAGTTTAAAATCGCTTGCAGTTTGTAACCGCTGTGGCTCAAAATTTATCAAAAGGCGAGCGTAAACGAATGCAATACCTGTTGCTCAACCACTGAGTTTGCTACCTTCCAATTTTTTGGATTCTACTGCTTTTGTGAAAAAAAAAAACTACCTCTTTTGGCATAAAATACTACTAAGACAAAGAAGGTCATTTCGTTGACGTCTGCCGGTCCACTTTGTGCCTAACCACCCTGTACTGAACTCATGACTCATTTTCCATATTTCCCAAAGGCGATTCCGTCAGGTGGTCAGNGCTGGTTGAAGCAAATCAGGATGCAGAGAATGGTTCATAAACAGCGCAGAAACATCAGACTTATTACGCGCCTCTTCAAAAACAATGAAAAACAAACCTTGGCCGCTTTTTATGTAAGACATCTACCCTGTACTGGGTTGTAGTAGCACGATGTTTGCTTCTCGAAAGCAAACCGCGTTTAAACTGACAAGAAAAAGAAAAACGGAATGAACAACCCGCGGGATCTTCGAAGGGCTTGCGTCAGTCTTCAAATTTCAGCAGATATAAAGGAAGCCTCGAATAGCGTGGAAGTATTCTAGACTAACGAAAAAAAGCATTCTAGAAAAAAACATATATCCTCTTTCCAAGGAGAGTTAATATCTATTTACAGGCTAGTGACTTTGAAGTACTCGATTAATAATGCCCAATAACAAATCAGAATCGCTGGTACTCCACAAACTATAGTAAAATCGCCCCAAAAGAGATATTTGAGTTTCTCTTCGCCTCCATGACCCACCTCGTGAACTTAAAATAGAAGCCGCGTACGCTGAGAATTACAACCACGGCACAAACTGAAACTTAACGAATCCCGTTCTTATGTATCAAGTTTAAAATCGCTTGCAGTTTGTAACCGCTGTGGCTCAAAATTTATCAAAAGGCGAGCGTAAACGAATGCAATACCTGTTGCTCAACCACTGAGTTTGCTACCTTCCAATTTTTTGGATTCTACTGCTTTTGTGAAAAAAAAAAACTACCTCTTTTGGCATAAAATACTACTAAGACAAAGAAGGTCATTTCGTTGACGTCTGCCGGTCCACTTTGTGCCTAACCACCCTGTACTGAACTCATGACTCATTTTCCATATTTCCCAAAGGCGATTCCGTCAGGTGGTCAGAGCTACTTTAGCCAAATAACAACATAGCATTTATTATAACGTTTGAACTATACTTCTATATTTCCTTATTTCTGGTTTGTTAGGTTGTACAATAACTTCGCTGCTAGAAACATGTACAGGCCAGGAATTCAGTATCAAATGAAAATCACAATTCAACCCCTGTCCACACTGCACATACGTCAATAACCGAGGATATCAGGGAAAGTCCTTCTCTCTTTCTTTTTCCTTTCTTTCCTTCTCTCTTTCCCGTTTTTTTTTTTTTTGTTTTGTTTTTTTCGTTTTTTTTTTTT